AAGTATATCAGCAATGTCTAGCCCATTTGGATTTGACAAGTTCAGAGAAAATACTCCATAATTATCAATCATATCTTAGTGAGTTCAAAAAGTTGTTCCTAATTCACTTTTTATTCTAATTTGCATTATCAAACTATCTTTACTGTCTCTCAGCCTTTGACACTTTACCCTCTTTTCTGAGTCTGGTAAAGGAAAACTATAACTATCTAGTCTTCAATTCCCTCAGAGACCTAAGAAGGAAATAATATTAACCAAGTAAGCAGGAAGTATGAGCAGGCAACTTCCAAAAAAAAAAAAATCTGAGAAATGACAAAAACAGCTGGCTGTATGGACAGTCACCCAAGGTTCTTCTGCAACGTTGGGCATCCATCTTCAGCCTATAGGCCTAATGTATCTGACAGACTTTCCTATGAAGCAGGATTTCTGAAGGACTGCCCCACCTTGTCTTGGCAAGGTTTGCAGTCACTCTCTTGTCCTCAGCATAATGTCAGTAGTTGAGGCAAGGGCACTTCTTGCCTAGTGGCTTACTTTTGCCACAAAGAAAGTAAATTCCATGTGGAGTTTTTTCAGTGCCCATCATCTTTTCTGTAGTAGATTGGTGCTGCCAGCAGCAGACATGTCTAACTGTCATAAAAAAGAAAACAAAAGGCAAAACCCAAGACCTATGTTACTACATCTTAAATGCCATATTCTGTAGATCTCTGAAGTGTATGATGTTCTGTCCATTTGAAAATATATCTCTGACCTTGTAAACATACCTAACATGACTACAAATTCAATTGTAATAGGTGAATAATTACTAACCTGCATGTCCTTATTGTCTTATATAGTTGGTAATAATAACTTTCAAGGACTAGAAATTTGTATTAATTATATTGTTAACTGGGCTGTATAGGTGCAACACCTTGAACAGGATTAGAAATGTATGTGTAGTATGTTTTCACCAAATTAATCTCAAATTTGTATCAATGTACAAACTTTGTATACAGTATACAAAAGCATTTAAAACTAGTAGTTTCTTTTTAAAAGGAGATTCAATCTACCTCTTTATCCTATCATATCTGTATCCCTCCTTTTTCTTTTCAAAATAAGAACCCTGAATCTAATCTCCTTTGTTTAGCTGTTTTCTTGACCATTACCAATAATAACCTGTAACCAATCCCTCTAAACAATGACAAAGACTCATATCATAACCTATTGAGTGCCCAAAAACCACTCACCCCACCTCTTGGGAATGTGAGCATCTGCGGGAAGCTGTCTTTGCAGGGCTGCTGTTGGAACCAGCTGACTAGTCCACAGTTCATACTCTGAGAGACTTGCTAAAGGGGTTAAGATACAAGACAGAGAGAGACACCGAGCGGAAGGGGTTAAGATAAAAGACAGAGAATAGCTATCAAGAGAGCCATTCAGTCTGTACCGAGTGCACCTCTAGTTTATTCTTTCAAGACCTTAAGTACTCAACCAAAAGTGGGCACAAAATGGCAGAGGACTTCTATTATCTTGTATAAGGGGTAAAGAGACTTACTTCCCTTAATCCTCCAGGTATTTGGTAGCCGCACCTGCCATCAGGCCTTCAGGGTCCAGAGTAAACACACCTGGGCCCAAGTCTATTTAGATAAGAGACATCCACTAGCAAGGCCAAAATATCCTGTAGCCTCCAAACTAATGTTTTACAGGTAATAAGACAGATTTGAGCTCTCTGAATTTGAGGTGAGGTGGAGTGGATTCCTTGCCATGGGTCCTGACAGGTGTCGTGTTCTTAAATTTACTTCCTGTTGTCTGGGGGCAATGGCATCTTTAGGGAATCCTGAAAAGAAGAATTTGGGTTAATTGTCAAGTCCTGTGAGAGGTGGTTATATCATTTGTTGTCTGGTCTCTGCATAATGGGAAAGTTCAGGACTTGTCTCAAGTCCTGGCTAGAGTAATCTATGAGGCTGGATCTTCTCAGCTAGCCAACTCGAAGTTGTTCTAAACACTTTGTAGTCCAAAGCTAATCTTTAGTTGGTGTTATTCAGCTCAACAGTGTTATCATGGTCCTGGTGGAATTGCCATGGAGACTTCACAGATCACATTAGGTCAGATTATTCCTCTTATTGGTAATTTTTTTAGGTAGTTCTCTTTTGGATACTTACTTGTTCAAAGGTCTTCAAATGCCTCAAGGTTGGTTCTTTTTATTTTTCCAAAAAAACAGTAACAAAACCCTTCCCCAACCTTAACTTTGGGGAAGTTCCTAATACAATCTTTATCAATTTTGAGTTATTGTTTCTCCTGAATCTTTTGTTCTTTTCTCTCTAACTTTTCTATCATTCAGAGCAGTATGGTTTCTTACAGTAGGCATTAGGTTTTTTCATTGCTCTGGGAAGGAGTTTCCACAGTGAGAGGAAATGACTGACCTGGATTTTGCATAGGGGGTCTCTGAGGCCCCTCAAGAAGTTTCCCAATGGCAAAGAGTTACTTTCAATGCCCCCCTTGTTGATCTATATTCATTAGATTAGTCTGGTGCCTACCTCTGCATAATCCAGAAGGGAGGGGCATTCTGTTTGGATTATGTTTAGAAAAAACATTGTTTCTAGGAATGCCCTGTTTACAATCCTTTAAGATGACCTTGTTTGCCATAAATGAAACATTTGACATTTCGATTTTTATTCAAACCTCTGGAAATTACCTCTACATGCATCATCATGTTAATGAGATTCAATATTGATTGTATCTGGGATCCATTCCTCCAAAGGTGCTGACCTTGCCTTCAATGGCCTAATTATCTTTTTGCATTGTGCATCAGCATTTTCAAAAGCCATTGTTTCAATTATTATTTGTCTAGCTTCTGAATCTGGTATCATTCTATTTACTGCTGATGCCAGTCTTTATAAGAAATCCTTGAATGCTTCCTTTGGACCCTGTATAGCTTTAGTAAATGATTTAGTTTTCTTTCCTACTTCTCCAATTCTGTCTCAAGCACTCAGAGTCGCTGTGTGTCATAAATCCAGGGTATGATCATCGTATAGAGATTGCCTTTCTATAGTAGCATAATTTCTTTCTCCAAGAAGTTGATCTTGGCAGAGTTCCACACCTCTAACTTTACTCAGTTGTTCAATAGTCTTAGCCTCTTCTCTGAACCAGGTACTCCATTGTAATTGAGTATTGGGCTCTAAAACAGCTTTCACCAAGTCTGCCCAATCTGTAGAGATAATTCTGTTACAAACTGACCACGTGTTTAACATCTGCTTCACATATGGTGAATGCATGCCATATGAGACTTTTGCTTCCTTGAATCTCCTTAAATCTAACATTGGCGTAAGAGTCTAGTTAGCTCTTACAGCTATCTGGAGCCTCTGTCATTTGGCAATTCCTGTAAGGTTACTGTATATATTAAGATTGGTTATTTGAAAACGTTAGGCTGTTCCTCTATAACCTTATAATGCAATGCTGAAGTTGGTTGTCCTTTAAATTACTCTGTCTGGGTTTGAATATCTCTATGATCTGGTCTAATAAGTTTTTCTAAGGCCTGTATCTTGGCACTTATATCAACTAACTTTTTTAGGGATAAGCCAAGAATTATCAAACTGACAACAAAGATTATCAAAATGATAATTAACAGTATGCCAGTTCAGGTTAAGTTGATGATCCTTTCACTTAATTGTTCCAATTTTAAACCATCCATTGTATAATCATACAGAGACCTAACTCTCTCCATTGTAATAGTGATTACCATTTTTTAATGTGGGAAACAAAATCTTTTAATTCCTTCCTTTAAGAATTCCCAATTGTCTTACCAAATCTGCTGACAGTGTCAGTGAACTGTGAGGCACAGCATTCTGATTGGAGAACTAATACGTGGCTGTTAGCTGAGAGTGGCAGCCTGAGGAGAGGGGTCTACCAAGGCTCAGACCAAAACGGGGAGATCCTGTCCTCAGTGTGACTGCAGACTGGCTGACTCCTGTCTCCTCCTGTCTTCTAGTCCTCCTTAGTGCTGGTCTTAAAGGTGTGCACCACCATCACCCAGCCTCTGTGGCTAACTAGTGTCACTGCTGGGATTAAAATGTGTGCCACTACTGCCTGGCCTGTATGGCTAACTAGTGTGGCTAGCTTTGCACTCTGATTTTCAGACAAGCTTTATTTGTTAAATCATGAACAAAATATCACCATATGGGAAAGACTGATTTGCATTAAGTGGCACGCTCCTATCATAAAGCTTTTTATGTGGCAGCAGGGTTCTATGGCAAAGCTCCTAGTACAAATCTTAGTTACCATATGTGTACCAGGAAAAAGGCTTCTAGTAGCAAACTGTGCCAAGGGTCATGCTAGAGGTAAATCAGACATCCAAACTTAGAGACAGCTTTCAGATAAGGTCAGTCCTCTGGGCCTAGGGACATTCTCCACACAAGGGCAGGTAGAGAACAGGAAGTCTCTCTGGGGAGGAGGTTATCCTCCATGTTGCTGAGCATAGAGAAAGCTGCCAGGCTATGGTGGACTGCCACCTCTGACCAGCAGTGTCTCCCAACAGTTTTGCTCTTATTTTATTCTTTACTTTGTGCATAATTTATGCTGCTTTCTCTTATTATAAAACAAATCAAATTGAGGCAGTAGCATTTAATGTATCTAATAGTTCTGCAGAGAAAAAATGCTAGATTGGGAATCAGGAGTAAAGACCAGCCTCTTCAGGACACTGAATTTCAGTTTCTTAGGATGTAAATAAAGGTTTCAACTAAGGGCCATCTCAAAATCCCTTCCCAAGTCCTCGTCTGTCATATTCACATGTTCACACTGCTTCCAAGTAGCTGACCTTTTTTTCTGGCTGAGCCTAAAGCCAGACTGTTATATTAACCAGCTTTGCTGTCATGTTTTCCTTTTAGATTCTAGATCAAGACTCATCATTACTACTTTATTGGAAATCCATCCTGTTTTGGGTCTAGTATTGTATCTACAACAAACATCCATAGTCATTGAAGAGTATCACCTGACCTCTTGTGATCTGTTTGCTCATCTTTTTTTTTTTTAAGGTATTTTCAAGAGAAATAATTCCAGATTGATGGATGAAATTTTAAAACAACAGCAGGAACTTTTGGGCCTAGGTTGTTCCAAATACTCACCAGAGTTTGCAAATAGTAACAACAAAGACGATCAAGGTAAGCATGTGTGGGCAATTGGGCACAACCATTAGAAGATGTGTTTGCGTTTCAGGGTAGATTTTGTCACATTCTTCATTTATTTTGCTCTGTTAGTCTCTATTGTCAGTTATCTTGCTAGAAGATAATACTCAGAAAATGATATAATAGCAATTGACATTATAGAAATGAATCCACATTAAAGAAGATTTTATAGTCCTGTGAACAGAGAGGCCCAAGAACAGATACATTTGTAACAGTAAATTTAATGAGTACATAAATTGCTGCAAAACTGGTTTTCCTATAGGATAATATGAAAGAATGTTTGGTTGTAAGTGATACTTTTATATTGTTATCCATTACCTAGAGTATAAAGTAGCTTCCAGACAAGAGTCAGATAGGCATATGGACAGTGCACACATACTCCACTGTGGCGTAGTTTTCTTTAGTCTGAAGTTTTATGTTACTAGTACATTGACTATGAGTGGAGACAGCATTTTTAGATAAAAAGTTGTAGTCAGCCTCTTTTGTAGAGGCTTTACTCACTATACAAAACTACTTTTAGGATTTGGAGAAAATGGTATATAAAAATAGATACCACTGTGCCCTGGGGGACATGGCTTCTTTCAGAGGGGCATAGCAGCTGTGTTGGATACTGACGCTGAGGGGTCCTAGTTACCATAATTGTATTTTTATTTTGGTCTAAACTTACTTCATAAAACTGAAATAAAAATGAAAGCGTGTGCTTTAAATATTATCTTGTTGTTTTTTTCTCTAGTTTTAAATTGCCCTTCAGCTGTGAAGGTGCTGTCCCCAGAAGATGGCAAAGCAGACATTGTGCGAGCTGCCCAGGACTTTTGCCAGTTAGTAGCTCAGCAGCAGAGAAGACCCACAGATTTGGATGTAGATCTGCTAGACAGCTTACTTAGTAAGTCGGGAATGCTTCCCATTTTGTCTCAAAGACAGATGATAGAGACTATTTTGATTCTTTTCATTCTACACAATCTGGTTTGCCTGGCCTGGTGGCTCGTGCCTTTAATCCCAGCATTCAGGAGGCAGAGGCAGGCAGATCTTTATGGTCCAGGCTAGCTAGCCAGGGCTAAATAGTGAGACACCATCTTGGGGTGGGGGGAGGCTTTTATTGTTGTATCCCTTACCGTTCTGACATTTAATGATCCACATGTTTGATTTCAGGATATGGAACTTATCCTTGCACTTAATAGGAAGATTTAATAAAAGAAAAGGATTAAAAAACCAACTGTGTATTTGAGTATATGTGTGGGCACCTGGGCGACAGTCAGAGGATAGCTTTCTGGAATTGCTTTCTTCTTCCAGTACATGAGAAGTGCTTACCAGGCTTGGTGGTAAGCACCTTACGCACTGAGCCATCTTGCTGGTACAAGGAAAGGGTTTTTGAGGAGTTTTTCTTTTTAATGAATATTCTTGGAAGTAGGGGTTTAGTCCTAGTTTTCTGTCCCTCTCTCATTCCTTTTTTAGTTTTGTTTAGCTTAAAGAACTCTGTGGGGCTGGAGAGACGGCTCAGTGGGTGAGAGCACTGGCGGTTCTTCCAGAGGACCTGTGCTCGATCCCCAGCGCCCACATGGCCACCTTTATTCAGGCCTCTTTCTGAGTTTGCTCTGTTTGCTGTGCAGATGAACCACTGTGTGCGTCATAGCTTGCTAAAATACAGCATAACAGGGAAATGAGCACACCTCACCCGTACTGCTGGTGCAAGTCTTTGGCTGGCTGTTTCTCTCTGGGGCTCTTCGGAACTTTTGCCTTAACTCTGTGGTCCTTCTTACTAGTATTGCCTTTAACATAAAAAAGGTAATCTTTCTAACAAATTAGTGTCCATTGATGGCTTCTGTAACTATGTGGTATCAAGTCATTCAGTGTCCACTCGTTACCATAGAATGTTGTTTACCTTACTTACTAATCATGCATTTTCTGCCTCAATTATTTCCCTTAGGTCTTCATTCTGGTCTTCTGTCTTAACTTGCTAATTGCTTTGGTGACTGGTCACCTCTTATTTTCTGTCGCTGGTTAACTATTTGGGCTCAGGTAGTAGCAGACCATTGTAGGACTATTTTACCAGAGTTACTGAGGTATTCACTATTTCTTGGACATTTAGGAATTCCTGGATATATCCTACATGGTAGCCTGGGGTACCCTATAGGTGCCTTTCAGATATCACATTGGGTTGTTACTGAAGTGGTGAACCAAGGAGCTTCAGGGTTTGTTAGTTTATAATGAAAATGAGATTTCAAAAAAATTATTTTTTATTTTTTGAGATTAACATTTCTTCCTTCCCTTTCTTTTCTCCAAACCCTCCATGTTACTCCTCCACATTGTTTTTTAAATTCATGGATTTTTTTGCATCATGTGTTGTAACACACATTCCTCCCTTATTGTTGTTATACCGCCCCCTCCTAAATACAACCTGCTCAGTCTGTATAGTGTTACTTGTGTGTGTGTTTTCAGGGCTCACCATTTGGTATTGGATACCCAGTTGGTGTGTTCATGTCTAAGGAAGATATTTCTCCTCTCAGCTGTCCTTAGTTGCCTGCAGTTCTTTATGTTGGGTTGAGGCTCATGGGCTTTCTCCTGTGCATGTCAGTAAGCCTTTTACTGTCGTCCTTGTATGGCCCATGTTTAGGCAGATATATCGTTGAGACTATGTGAGTGTAGCTTTTCACATTACTAGGAGACACACTTTCACAACAGATGCTCTGATCCTCTTGCTCTTACAATCTTTAATGTCGATTCTAAACTTAATTAACTGATAGGATATTACCAAACACTCTGAACACCGTCACTCCCAAAGTCCAACTCTGTTCAGACTTCACTTGGCAAGCACTGATTTGCTTTCTGACTAAATTTTACATTTATTTTTAGAAATTTTATATGAAAAGCAATCAAATAATATGTAGACGTTCATATCCTATCTAATATTGTTTTTTTCCTAACATTTTTATTGATTATTTGGGAATTTTACATGATATACCCTAAAGACTCACTTCTCAGACCTCCGAGGTCTGCCCCTCACCCTGTGACCTCCCCCCCAAAAAAGGAGAAGAAAAAAACAAGTCCAGTTTGTGTTGCCCATAAACTCACTGGAGCATGGTCACACTCCCCATGGCCAGCCCTTTAAAGGAAACTGATTCTCCCCCGCCCACACTGCGGTCAGAATTGTTTTGCTTTTAAGTGAGACAGGATCTCACTATGTTGCCATGGCTGGCCTGGAGCTCACTGCATAGAACAGGTTGGCCTCAAAACTCACAGAGATCCACCTGCCTTTCTTTGCCTCTGGAGTGCTGGGATTAATGGCATGTGATGCCATGCCCAATAAGCATAATGCTTTTGAGATTTAGGTTTAATACATTAGTATTTCATTACTCTTTATTCTTTTATCCTATTCTGTGGATATAACTCATTTCTTCCACTCACCAGTTGCTAGACATTTTGTTTGTAGTTTTTGGATAATATCGCTATGACCACCTGCATGCATGTCTTTATGAGGGTGTGTTTTCTTTTCTCTAAGGTAGATACCTAATAATGGAATTGTGTCATGTGAATGAATATTTCATTTTTAAAAGAAAGTGCTACATTGTCTTCCAAATAGGCTCTCTATTTATATCCTTAACAGCAAAGTAGAGGGCTCTATCTTCTCATGCTTGCTGAAGTACAATGCTCTCTGGGATTGTTTTTCTCATGTTTGTCTTTTAAGTATAGTTTGAGCCCTCTAGTGTATATGTGATAATATTAAACTCATGTTTTCTTAATGGCTAATGATGCTAAGTATCTTTTGTGTGCTAATACGCCACCTGTAGCTTACTTAGTAAAGTGTGTGTTTAACTATTTCGCTATTTCTATTGCATGCTTGTTTATGATGTATGTGTGTGGCACTTGTATCCCGCTGAGCACGGGTGGAGATGAGAGGACACAACTTGTAGTAATTTTTCCCTTTTCATTTTTTTTTTGATGATTCAGGGTTCTTTGTATTTTCATATAAACTTGAGGGTTAGTCTTTTCAGTTTTAAAACACACACACACACTCTTATTTGTTTTGGTAAAACGTAGTTATTTTGTTAAAATATTTTAAGATAGTAAGAGTAATATTTTTAATGAATAAGTTGAATATACCATGTCATTTATAATTTGATAAGATTAATAGATTATCACTCACTTAAATAGAAACTCATTAGAGCTGTGAATAATATTTGAGAGTGCTAAGAAATGTTTGTGAACAAGCAGTTTGAGAACTGCTAATTAGCAGCCTGGAGACTGCAGTGTATATTACCAGTATGCCAACACCATGAAGTTCTTCTAATAAAAAATCCAAAATGTTTCAGGCTATATTAGGGGATCAAATTGAAGAGATGTAAGAACAAGGGGCTAGGAAGTCTCAGTAGGTGGTTTGTCCTCTGTACACCCAAATGCGGAGGCACAGACACGTCTGCACTCACACCTCACACACAGATACAAGAACAAATACAAACGGTGCACTTAAGGAGAAGTAATATAACTATTAGTCTTGCCCACAGAGAGAAAATGTAGAATAATTCTGAAATTATCCATTAAGTGATCATGATAATTAATATACTAATATAACATACTGCTTTCCCATAGGTATTTTAAACACATTGCCTCAATTAACCTTTACTTGGGCCTCCGGATTATATTGCTCATATTATCATTATTTATTGTGATTATCATGCCATGAGATGGGAAAAGGACACATGACAAAATTACCAAGCTAGTCAGAGGTTCATCTAGGCTTAGCAGTTTTCAAATTCTGCACTTTATATTTGTGAAGCCACAGAGAAGTTGTACTTTATAATTTGGAGTAGTTTCTTTTAGCTATACTCCAATGGCATATCTTTGTGTGTGTGTGTGTGTGTGTGTGTGTGTGTGTGTGTGTGTGTGATCATTTTTCCTCTCCCCTAGTTCCTCCCAGATCCTTCCCACCTTTCTACCCACCAGACTTTATGTTCTGTCTCTTTAAAAACAAACAAAAACAAACCAAACAAGAAACACACACTTTAAAAAAACAACCTACCTATTAAAAACACAAAAATGAAAATCAAAATAAACAAGTGAAAACCAAAAATTGCCCAAATAAGCCAGATGTGGCAGCACACCTTTGATCTCAGTGCTCAGGAGGCAGAGACAGCGGGGCTCTGAGTTTGAGGACTATCTGGTCGACATAAAGAGTTCAAGGACAGTCAGAGCTGCATAATGAGACCCTGTCTTAAAAAACAAGAAAACCCAAAGCTGAGGTATACACACACTTTTAAATCTAGGTTACATCAATGAGAGAGAAGTGGTGTTTGTCTTTCTGAGTGTGTTGTATTTGTTCGACAGGATTCCCAGTTGCATATTTCATGTATTTTAGTCTGGCTATCTATATCCATCCATCTAGGTTTAGTGGTCATCCAAGGACTTGCACACTAGCTGTGCTCATACACCTGAAGATTCTGGCTTCAGGGATCTGTGCATGGCATTGGAAAGTTGCATTTTAAGTTGATACCATTCCTCAAGTGGTCTTGGCCCTGTCTTTACACTAGGTTTTTTTTTTCCTGTCCTGTCTTTTGTCCCTTCACATGGGTAGTTTGCCACTCAGTCGTAGCTGTAGGATTTTATGTGAGCCCGTATTTCCAGGACCTTCCTGTTAAGCACCCAGACATGGAGCCTGTATCCTCAGATAAGTGCAACTGCGTGATCCACATGCCCCCAAACCCTTGAATTCCACAATTGTAGCTAGCAAACTGTGGACTTCTTTTTCTGCCTGCTGCCTGTCCCTTCCAGTTCTCATGTCTGTCCATACCATTGGGCAGTAAGAAGCAAATCCTCTCTTTAAGTGTTCTTTGCAGTTGATTGGGGTTGGAACAGTCCCAGACAAGAAGATCATACTCTTGGTGTTGATGTTCTTAGTTGAAACTCTTAGCTGGTTTTAATTTTTGTTTTTTTAAATGGTAATTCCCTGACTTTGACCAGTATCCACTGCTCTTAAAAGGCTGTTTTTGTTCAGTTATTTTAATACTTTTCTTTATGGAAAAGATCTGTTTACTTCACATCAGGTTCCCCTCTCTCTCTAATTGCTTTGTAGGTAGCAGTGGGTCTGGTTTCAGCATTTATGTGTCTACCATAGACTTTAAAGGGACTTAGTCATGGAAATGATGCATATTACTGCTGGATGGGTCTGTAATCCAGTCTCCCCCTGCTGTTTTCCTTTTGGTTGTGGTGTTGGGGACTGAACTCACAGCTTTTGCTCTCCTGTCACTGCCCTCATCCTGTCTTGATCTCTTTATGTGTCACTGAAGAACTGTTAGTGCACAGGTCTCTTGGATTATAGTCCTAGACCTCCCGAGTATTCTTTGTCTTTTTTTTTTTTTTAAAGATTTGTTTTTATTAAAGCATTCAGATATGGCTTCAGAGAACAGAACAGGAACCCTAAGAAGCAACTTAATTTGTGTATTAATGGTCCGTGCTAATTTTATGTTTGTCTTTATTCCCAAGGTTCACATGGTTTCCCTGATCCTGATTTAGTGTTGAAGTTTGGTCCTGTGGACAGCACATTAGGCTTTCTTCCTTGGCAAATCAGATTGACTGAGATCGTGTAAGTAAATGCAAGTGTGTTGGTTTTGTTCTTTGATCCCAGCACTGTACTAGATCTAATGACAGTACCTCATCTAATGGCAAAATAAGGGCCCGTGGATGGAGTGGACAGTAAGTATGTGATTGTGTAGATGTTTGGTGTTGACATTAATTATCTTAGAGGATCAGAAATGAGTGATATCTGAGTGCTGGAGTTGTTCCAAAGAACAGGTAGGAATCCACTCAGGCATCTGATACTGATAGAAATTTTGTGTTATAGTAATGGCAGGAAACATAGTGAGTGGTAAGGAAGCAAAAGAAAACGGTGATGTCTAAAGACTAGGGAGCGGGCCCTGTTGGGGGAAGGGTGGATGACATGAGGGGTCGAGGGCTTCAGTCTGGATGGTTAATGACAAAGTGAGGGGCAGACTGGGAGTGGAGACAGGTGGACCCTGAGGTAGTACAGGAATGGTCATTTTGGGAGGTTTATTTGGCTGCTATGGCTGGAGCTGGTTTGGAGAAAGGATAAAGTAAAAGGACATTGAAGGGCCATGCTGTGATCTTGGGAATGTGAAGGGAATGAGTTGCTTATGTAGAACAGGGCTTCCCAACTTCCTAAAATGGCCAGAAAAGAAATACGTTAGGTCTTTCGGGTCATGTAGCATCTTTCTACTTAACTAAAATTTGCCCAGCTTAGCAAGTTCAGTGAAGTAACCACAGACAGCACACGGACAAATAGGAACGAATGTTATTTGTAAAAAGAAAGTATTAACTTGGCAGGAGGAACAGGAGGTCAAGGCCAGCCTGGGCTATGTAGTGAGTTCTGGACAAGCCTGAGCTACCAAGAGAAACTTTGTTTAACAAATAAGCAAGACAGATTGTTATTTGTTGACCCCTGATTTAGAAGAAAAGAGAGTGTTTTGTTTTGTTTCATTTTTAAAAATTTTCCCTAGACAGGGTTTCTCTGTGTAGGCTGGCTGTCCCACAACTCACTCTGTAGGCCAGGCTGGCCTTGAACTCACAGAGATCTGCCTGCCTCTGTCTTCCAAGTCCTGGGATTAAAGGCATGCACCACCACCTGGTTAATGTGTTAGTTTTTAAAATGGGCATTTTGATGTAGAGTTGAAGATTTAGATAGCAGGTAACACAGATGCCTAGCACACTACAGGTTGCCCATTGTACCTGTGTCTATACACCTGTCTTAGAGTTCATATTTTGTTGAATTTTGTCTGTATTTTCATTCCCCCAGCAGACTAAGAACTTCTTGATGCTAAAATGAGCATGCCTCTGAGGGTAGCGGCACAGTGCTTGGAGACTGGGGGATAGGGCAGTTGATAGTGTGTGGAAGAGGACATAGGGATGTTGGAGGGTCCCCTCCCCCTATTTATTTTACCTCCCAGCCTGGGATGTTGGAGTTTTAAGGGGGATGTGAATGCCATGAAATATTGTTTGAATAAAAAAAGACAAGGTTGGCAGCAGACATTATTTTCATTTGATGTTAAGAGAGTAGAAAGAAAACCTGGGCCACTTTCAAAATTCCTGACAGTTTGAGGAAGGAAATAAAGAGCTGTAGTGAAAGAGAACCATAGGTCAGGCAGGAGTTCTTTTGTGTTACAGTGTGTGTGTGTGTGTGTGTGTGTGTGTGTGTGTGTGTGTGTGTGTGTGTGTGTGATGTGACTGGAACTCTGAATGTGGCTTTTGTAATCCGACTGTGTTTGGCCCTTACTGTTTTGAATTTCCAAACCTCATTATGAAGCTCTTTAAAGTTGAGGGCTTTTTCGTATCGATCTTTGAAAATTATTGGCGTTCCCTGGTCCTGTGTTCATGCTGCCTTCCTCACGCTTGTCTTCATGCTGTAAATGCTCCCATGATAGTTGGTAGCAGTGGGTTGCACATGAGTCACTGGCTGCTCACTGTATGTATCGTTGTGCGGAAGTGCGTGCAGCTCTGGCGGAGGCTACGCCTGGCTTCCACTGTTAACGTACTGGCTCCAGTGTGACCATGCAGCGTTCCTAAAGTGAATTTGAGTACATTATTAGTACATAGAGCTTTAACTTTAACATAGGTGTTTGCATTAATAGATTGTGAGCAGTTTTGCTTGAGCTGCCTCACAGTGAGTTTGACTAAAAATGTAGCTGTTCTGCGTATAATTTATGTTTTTATTCCCTTTACTTCCTTCTGCATATGACCCTCCCCCATGTTGTAGTATATCATCTAATCCCCCCCCCCGTTTTCTTTTCAGCTCTTTGCCTTCTCACCTGAACATCAGTTACGAGGACTTTTTCTCCGCGCTTCGCCAGTATGCAGCTTGTGAACAGCGTCTGGGAAAGTAGTGGCTTCTGGTTGCATAACAGGATTTCAGGCTTTTGGAGAAAAGGACCCAATTGACTCTGATGTTTACAAAGTACCTATAAAACCTTGTACACACCTAGTTCATATTCCTCATAATTTATCAACAAACACAAAAAAGTGTCTTACTTGAGAGTGAATGAGTGTGTGCGTGTGTGCGTGCATGTGTGTATGGAAATAAACTTATAAATGGGGCGCATCGGAGAGTAGAGTCCATAGACCTTCAGTTGAAGCAAGCAGCGGCCGTGTCTTAGGAACTGAGACTTGAGATGGAAAGGCTTCAGCTCCTGCTGCTCCTCTGTTTGTGTGGGGAGTGGAGGGGTGAGTAGAGAGAGCTGGGGGAGGTTGTTTGTGGTGGGAGAGGATCATTTTTGTTCAGTCTTTCTTAGTGACCAAACTTTAATTTTTAAGAATAATATATTGACTTACTAGTGGAAGTATTCTTATTGTGAGGGACAGTCAGAGGTTCTGGATTGTTCCCACGGTGGAAGCTTGCTCACCTGAGGAGCAAAGGCAGTCTCCTCAGCTTTCCGTCCATTTCATTTCTGCGTTATAGTAAACTGGGACTTGAGAGCACTGGTCTGCTGTCTGGTCTGGGTTGTAAAGATCATTTGAAAAAAAAAGAAGTCTTACAGCATTGAAGTACAGAATACAAAAAATTTTAAATATTGAGTTAGGCGGTTGAAAACCAAAAAAGTGAATAAATGATAATCTTAAAGATGGAAAATTTCCTAAGAGGACAGTTTTGATTTCCTTGTGTGATGAGTAGTATGCTATATAGTGTCCAAACCATTAAAAAAAAGTTTCCATTAACTTTTTATTTAAAACATTTGAGAGAAGTTAACCAAGGCAGCTTTTTACCTCAAAAGTAACCTGCTGCTCTCTCGAGTGCTCCAGTAAATCTCAGTGATGACTTTGCATAATGATTAAGTAGGTGGAGGCCTGTATTACCAAAACCTGTGAGCATAGTTTAACTTGATCTTCTGTGTTCTCTTGTGTTCTAGAGAACAGCACTGCTTCTGACAGAATTGTATTCTTGATAATGTTTCATGTTTTTCCACTGATAATCTTTGGATAGAAACCATTCTTTATATTTGATGGACAGTTTTCAGAAAACTTTATCAGCAAGTATACAAGAGTCGTGTACATTTAGAATAGAGCAGTTTAAATACAAGGCCTCAGAAATCTGAAAAATAGCAAAGAACCTGGGTTTGGAAAGTATGGTCTGGAATTACCTGTCAGACTCTGAAGAATACATGTTTCAGCTTTGGATTACAGACCCCATTTATGATTTTTAAAATATACTTGAAATAAAATGATTAAAATGAATTTTGGTCCAGTGACATTACTTTGCACTTCAGTTTTTTTGTACAAAATTTTAAAGTTTTAATTTATTGCCAAAAATTTGTGTGAAGCCTCAGTGTATTTAAAGGTTATTAGAGAATTCCCCATTTCTGTTCCCCTGTACTGTGATCTGTGTTCCTCTGGTTTTATTCCTCTACAGGGGGAGGTAATTTAAGGCAGTTTAACACCTTTTGTAAACATGAGAGGTATAAATACAGATCTTCTGGGGGGTATGCACAGCTTTAATGAGTTAAATTTTGGGCTCAATTGAAATAAGGGAATTCAAGGTTTGCTAAAACAAAGTTTGCCAAATTGCCCTTTGCAATAAAGCAAAAATCGTAAAGCATTGAGTTATTATACTTTCTTTCTTTCATAGTATAGCACAACAAAACAAATCCATAGCCTATGACCCAAGTCTGTTTTGTTCTTAGAAAAAAATTGCTTAAGAAAGTTAAGGATTTTGAATTTAAATAAAGGCATTCAGGAATCTTGTTACTTGAGGTCAACTGCTAATGCCACCTCCACAACTTGAATAGCTCTGGTCATTTTCAGTTTCTGCCAAGGTCATCACAAGTTAGGATATCATCAAAACTCCCTTTGCACTTCCAAGGAACTTAGTGTCTTCATATGTTTTAAGTTGTTTCTTCTTGACACGCTCCACAATGAGAAAGACACCAAGTAGAACCTACTCAACAGATGGCATGGAGCATATAAAGAAGTTGGAGCGATTAACTCCATTCTGAAGTCTGACTGTAAATTGCTCTTTGAAACGGACTGGTTAATGTTTGAACTTTAAAAGCTGACTATTATAATGTGAATAGTAAATTCTGGTATATTGTGACTAAGGCTTAATAATGCCTGTTTTTAACAATAAAAATGTTCCAATATTAACAGTGCCAAATACACTGTGCATATCTATAATTTACCATTTGAATGTATGTTAATTAGCTACTCCCTTCTGTGTGATGGTCCCATGCTTGGTGTCAGTGAAGCCCTTGTGTCATGCCTGTAGATTTTGGCAACATGTAAATAATATGTACAGCAAGTTTTTATGATTAAGGAATCAAATTTATTGAATTTTATTATTGAAAGTTGAAACAATGTATGATCAAAAAATCAATAAAAGAATATACTCTTTTCACGGACTGTAGTATTATGTGAATGTTACATTTAGTCTATACAGTTAGGAATTCTGAAGTGCAATAAGAAACTGATGACCAGATAGCAATCTGTTTTTAGATAGCATGCTCTTGATTGGAATGGATTCTCATTTTTACCAGGTTAAATATTTGCAATCTCATGTTTACTTTTTATTTAGTACTACAGTTAGATTCAGCTTTGTCTTGTTGAGATTGTCAAGTTACATACTAACTAAAGGCTGAATTTTCCCCGAACATAGGAATAGTAACTTAAAAAAAAAAAGTATGTCATTTTTTTAAGTACTTTAAATGAAAGTGATGTCTTATGCAGCATAGTTTTCCTTTTCTATTAAGAGCTAATTGTAAGACAGCTGTGTATGCAGAGTTTTCATCTAAATCCAGGGCCCACCAAAGGTTATATTTTAACTCTTGTTAAAATAGGAAGTGCATTTAACAAAAGTGACTGTAGGTGACCTTGTTGCACAATGGTAGAGCATCTGACTTGGACAATGACTGGGGTAGTTTGGGGAAAAACACCAAGGGCACGTGATAGCAGTTTCCCAAGATTCTAATCAACATCTGTAAAGCAGTGAAAATTGTGGAAAAGGAGGATATGAAAAGAATTTGAGGGTTAACATTTATTATAAAGACCAATAAAATTTAAGAAAATAAAAAGATTCAGGGAACTCAAAGGGAGACCCATCCCCCAATTCCATTTTTGGTGACAGTCTTCCCTGAACCTTTTTCCGAACTTTTACTTTAAAATGTCTTACTATATCTGGCTTAATAAAGAGATTGTTTTAAACTATACACTTAGAATTTGAGTTTTTCTGTTGAGTATTTGGTTATTTTGTTGATATAAACAGCTATGTGGAAAAAGACAGTCCACATTCATTTTAATGAGTATTTAATCTTCATCCAAATTCTTTGTGTTTATTTTTTCTTTCCTATAGAAATTTAGGGATTATAAATTGATCTTAGCATTGCATAGAAAGGATTTGAAATATGGAAGGTAATCCCAGGTTCTTTGTTGTTGACAACTCCTTCAGAACTAGTGGTTTAAGTTGCTATTAGAAAGACAAAGTCTAGGACTTGGGAAAGAAAAGTGAAGATGGGTAAGTCAGCTCCAGTCTCTAGAGGATGGGTAAGTCAGCTCCAGTCTCTAGAGGATGGGTAAGTCAGCTCTAGTCTCTAGAGGATGGCTAAGCCAGCTTAAGTCTCTAGAAGAAGATGGGTAAGCGTCAGCTCGGAGTTTGTGGTCTTTCAAGGAATATACCCATTGTGACGTGTAGCTGTATCTTGTATGGGTTTGGTTGTAGGAGTCTGTTATAAATAGAGTGTTAGTTAATCCTTAGTAACAGCTGTGCAGGATTATATTAAATTTACTGTATTTAATGGAGAAAAGGGGATAGTAATAGTAACAGTAATCAAGTATTTCTGCAATAAATTTCAACTGTGGCTTGTCTCTGTCATCCTTCACGGTTGAAGCACCACGAGAACTTCCTTTCTTACTGCCTCAAAATCCCCTGCCTCTTAGCTTGTGCCAGTATCACGTGCCGTCCTCTAGATTTAGTTTTGCACGATTCAGTTACTATGGAACTGTTTATACAGCCTGCCTGTTGGTAGAGTGAAGCCACACGGTGATTTGATATGTGTGTATGCTGGAATGGTGGGATGATGCTGATTGGCACATTCATCCCCGCCTTGCAAGAGCGTGCGCATGCGTGTGTGCGAGCGAGCGAGCGTGTGTGTGTGTGTGTGTGTGTGTGTGTGTCGGTTCTCGGAAAGAGCAACCAGTGAGTGTTCATAACTGTTAAGCTGTTTCTCCAATCTCACTTTGTTCTTTATTACTGAAACTTTGTGTCCTCCAAACACCATACCATGCTGAGTTCTGCTACATGTGAGATATGTGTGACTAGCCCATTCCCCACCCCACCTGACTGACCATCACTCTTATTCTTTGCTTTTCTGAGCACAGCTTTTTATATATTATATATAACAGATCATGCTGCATTTGTCTTTTTGAGCCGTTTCATTTAATGTAAAGGCTCCTATGTAACCTACCATAGCACATGAAAAAGTTACCTTTACAGAAGACAATAGGACTGAATTGTGCATTTCTACCACATAGATTGGTTATCTTATTGTGGTTAATGAACATGGATGTGCAGATGTTTCAGTGCATTTATTCGCTGTATGTACACCCAGTGTGGGGTTGCTGAGAAACTACATGATACTTACCACCAACATGCAAAGTTTCCAACTACTAGTCATCTCTTGGGATTTTGCTTTCATTTGGTCCGGATATATATTCATCCCCCCCCCCCATACACCCAACTGTATGTGTGTATGCCTCAATGTGCAAGCCTGTGGGAGCCAGAGAAGGACATTACATGGTTTTTCCCTATTGCTTTCTACCCAACCCTTCTTTGAGACAAGCAAGGCGGGTTGTCCAGTAAGCTCCGCCCCCAGCGCTGGGATTACAAGCATATGGAGGTATGCCTCTCTTTTAGGTTCCATTGTTGAGAACCAACTGCCCATAAGTTTGTGGATTTATTTGTATATTGTATATTTTGTTCCATTGCTCTGTCTTTTCTGCTTTTACTTATTTGTTATTTGCCACCACTACACTGTTTTGATTCCTATAGCTTTTTAGTATGTTTTGAAATGACTGATAGCTTTAGTTTTGCCTATGATTGATTGCTTTGGCTATTTTTTTGGTAGTTCCTATGAATTTTAGGTTTTTTTTCCCTATACCTGTGAAAAGTGTGTCAATGAAATTTTGATGCAGATGCATGGATTCTGTCTATTACTGTCAGTAATGTGAACGTTTTAGCAATGTTAATTACTACAGTCTGTGAACATGGGGTGTCTTCCCATTTATCTGTATTCTTGTTTTTCTTTTATAAATGTTTTGTAGATTCCAGTGTACATGCCTTTTATCTTCTTGATTGAACTTTTCCCCACAGATTTATTTCTTGTAGTTTTGAAGTGGGATTGTTTTCTAGATTTTTTTTCTTTTGACAGCTGATTGTTACTGTATATAGAATACTGTTTATGCTTTTATACTGACCTCTCTCTATACAGGAATCAAATGCTCAATATTTGTTTTATTAGTGAAAAATCTAGGGACTTGTTGAAATCTCATTTGCCAACTTGCACTGTTAGTTAGCTTGAATGTTACTAAAGCCAAATCTATAGTTTTGTTGTTTTTCTTTTTAAGACAGGGCCTCCTTTTGTATTGCTGACTGGCTGGCTAACCAACTCCCAGAGATCTGATTGTCTCTACCTTGAAGGGGCTGGGATTAAAGGCATGGACACAGCACCTCTTTCTAACAACTTCTTGTTCCGTTTTACACTTCTCTCTGCCTGTGAGTTTTTAAATATTTCTTAGTCTCCTAAACATAAATACTACTTATATTTATTGGAATTTATTATTCACTTGTTTTCCTTAAAGTTGAGCCCCAGAGAACTACTAAGATATAACTTTAACTTGTTTGTGCTGTGGTTGAATTTAAGAAGTTTTTTTTTCTCATACTTTCATATCACAGTTCATCATCAAAAGTAGATAGGGCAGGAACCTGAAAGGCTGGAGCTGATGCAGAGGCCATGGAGGAGTGTTGCTTATTGGCCTGCTCCTCCTGGTTTGCTCAACCCACAGAACTCAGGACTACCAGCCCCAGGGTAGCAACACCCAGGGTGGTCTGTGGCCTCCTGCACCAAACACTAAGAAATGCCCTACAGGCTTGCCTAGAGGCTGATTCTATGGAGGCATTTTCTCCTGTTGAGGTTCTCTCATAAATGACTAGTTTATGTAGAGTTGACACAAAGCTAGCCTGCACACTCACCTAGCCAAAAATAAAATCATCAAATTTTATTCTCAACTCATTCTGCCTTTAAAGTCTCTGTTTTATTAGAAGTACATCCTGGCCCCAGATGTACCTTGTTGCTCAATTGTAATAACTGGGGCCATTGTAATGTTTTACTGAACTATTACAGTAGCTCCTGTTATGGGCACATTTGTACCATACTTCTCTTTCAATTTGTATACTGAAGCAATTCCTCTACCACATCTCCCTCATGTAAGGTTATGTGGAAACAGAGCCTGTAGGGGAGGTAGTTAAGGTTAAATAGGCCATAAGAGTAGGACCTGAATCCAACAGGTTTGGAATCCTTCAAGAATGAGGAAGCTGTACCAGAGCTGAAGACTGTAGTCATGGGATGCAAGGAAGAGAGTCCTCAGCCAGATGGCGATTTGATCAGAGAGCTCCACTACCCAGAAAAGAAAACTTGATTTTTGTTTTATACACGTACTATATGGCTTTTTTTGTGGCAGCCCAAGGAGACTAGTACACCTCTCAAAATTTATCGCACCTATCTTAGTTACTGTCCTATTCCTATGAAGAGACACCATGACCAAGGAAACTTATAGAAGAAGCATTTAGTTGGGGGCTTGCTTACAGTTTCAGAAGGTGAATTCATGGCCATCATTGTAGGGAGCATGGTGGCAGGCAGGCAGGCAGGCAGGCAGGCAGGCAGGCTGGCAGGCTGGCAGGGTGCTGGAGCACTAGCTAAGAGCTTACATCATATTGACAAGTTGGAGGCAGAGAGGGAAAGACGAAATAGCATGGGCTTTAGAAACCTCAAAGCAAATTCCCAGTGGCATGTCTCCTCCAAGACCACAACTAATTCTTCCTAAACTATCTACTAAATGGGAACCAGCCATTTGGATATACGAGCGTGTAAGGGGCATTCTCATTCACACCGCTACACTACCTTACCTCTCTTCTATACATTTGACAAGTCATTGCAGAAAAATTTCCCACAGCATGGCTTTGCCCTCTTCATTCCTGATGATTTTCTGTGTTGTAGACTCAGCTCTGCACTGCACTTAAAGAGTCCTATATATGATTGTAGCTTCCAAGTCCAGCATGTTTCCTTAAAACAGTAATAATATGGGTGTGGTGTTTCTAATCTGTAATCCCAGCACTTGGGAGGGTCA